GCCAGAGGGCGGTGAACCCGAGTGGCCAGAGGCCGACGTCGTGATCGGCAACCCACCGTTTCTCGGCGGCAAGCTCCTGAACCAGACCCTTGGCGAGGACTACGTCGCCAGGATGTTTGCGGCATACAAGGGTCGTGTGCCGGCTGAAGCGGATCTGGTCACCTATTGGTTTGTGAAAGCGGGCGAGCACATCGGCGCCGGCAAGGCGCAGCGGGCGGGGCTGGTGGCGACGAACTCGATTCGAGGCGGCGCGAATCGACGAGCGCTTCGTGCCGCCATCGACGGGCGTCCGATCTACGATGCTTGGTCCGACGAGCCCTGGGTAATCGAGGGCGCCGCCGTCCGGGTCTCGCTGATCTGCTTCTCTGGAGAAGACGGCGGACCGGCGCTGGAATCACGACTCGACGGCCGCCCGGTGGACCAGATCATGCCGATCTTACCGCGCAGCGGGGAAGCACAGGAATCGACCTGACCAAGGTGCAGCGTCTGTCGAGCAACATCGGCGCCGCTTTCATGGGCGATACAAAGGGCGGGCCGTTCGAAATACCGGGCGACGTGACACGGCGGTGGCTTCGGCTCCCGCGAACCCGAACGGGCGGCCCAACGCCGACGTGCTCAAGCGTGGATGAACGGCATGGATGTGACTCGTCGTCCCAGCGGCAAGTGGATCGTCGACTTCGGCTTGGAACTGAACGAATCGGAAGCGGCGTTGTACGAGGAGCCGTTTCGGCATGTCCAGGAGCATGTTCACCCGATGCGGCAACGAACTCGGCGCGAAGAGTATCGCGCCAACTGGTGGAGACACCTCAGGCCCCGCCCTAACATGTGGGAAGCGCTCGCGGGTCTGCCACGATACATCGCCACACCGACGGTATCGAAGCACCGGCTATTCGTCTGGCTTGACGCACGCATTTGTCCCGACCATCAACTGATCGTCATCGCGCGAGCCGACGACACGACCTTCGGCATCCTGCACAGTCGCTATCACGAGGCGTGGTCGCTCAGGCTGGGCACGTGGCTTGGCAAGGGCAACGACCCGAGATACACGCCAACCACCACGTTCGAGAGCTTCCCCTTCCCCGAAGGGCTGTCGCCCGACGTACCCGCCGCCAACTATGCTACCGACCCGCGCGCAAGCTCCACCTCGGGAGCAGCGCGGCGGCTGGTCGAGCTACCGAAAACGGTACCCGCTTGGCTCAACCCGCCCGAGTGGGTTGAGTGGACTGAAGAGCCGGTGCCCGAGTATCCCCAACGCCCTGTCCCCAGGGACGACGCCGCGTTGGCACAGCTCAAGAGACGTACCCTTACCAACCTCTACAATACCCGCCCCCAATGGCTCGTCGATGCGCATGCTGCCCTCGATGCCGCAGTCGCGGCAGCTTACGGTTGGCCCGACGACATCTCCGACGATGACGCGTTGAACGAGATGCTGGCGCTCAATCTGAGAACATCACGATGACCAGACTCTGGCCAATGCGTCGTTCGACCCGGCTACCCGGTCGAGCTTTCCGCCGCCGGCCCAGACGCCTGGACCGGAAGTAGCGGGCGGCCCGTGTCGCGGGCGCCGTCGTCAAGCCGTCTTTCCGCACGGCTTTCGTTCTGAAGATGCTATGGTGCTGATTCGCGTGCCTTCAGTACCGCCAAAACGCTGGCGTGGATCGCATCCTGGATCTCGTTGTAGATCATGTCATCGTCCTCGGCGCAGACCATCTCGGTACCCACCGCAGGCTCCACCACCCATCGTTCGTCGCGAGCGGAGATTGTCGCTACGAGAGGGCCTCCGCCCGGTTGAGTTCCAGGACCGGCATCCAATATACTCCATACTAACCCCCCCCTACCCCCTATATAATAACCAACTAAACTCTATACCTACTATACTATAAACCCCCTACTACCCATATACTTACCCCTAACACCCCGCCTTAACTACTGCCATACTACCCCTCTACCGGTCCAATAAAACCTATACTACCTACCCCCCCCCCCCCCTAACCCCCGATCCCCCCGTCATGCCCTACTACTAAACCCCCCCCTCCCACCCGCGCCTACCCCTCCGCCTATCCAATCTCCTACTCCCTCCCCCCGTCGCCCCCACCCCTCATCCCCCACTCCCTCGATACCCCAACCCTCCCTCACCACCCATCATCCCTCCCCGTCCATCCCCGGAACGCCGTCCGCCTCTCTCCCATCACATATCGCCCTCCCCATAGCACCCCCGCCTCCCTCCGTCAATAGACCGCACCGTGGTCGTCGGGGCATGGCGTGGGCAACCAGGTCGCCATTATCTCCGAGTACGAAGTGTTCGCCCGACTCTTCCGTAGTTACATACAGATGCACGGCACCACCCCCAAGTTGCGGCAAGTGTTTAAGAACCAAGCACCAAGAGCACCACCGGACGCAACAGCCAGATAAGACAGCCGGCGCTGACCAGACTGCATCCGGCCCGGCCCATCGGGTGCGGGTCCATCAGAGCACTTCAAGCTCGTTCCGTCTCTCGTCGGTGAGCATGTCGCCTATGTCCGAAGGTTTCCGTTCTTCTCCAAGACTGCAAGGTACCCATCCCGATCCATATGGCACGCGATGATCTGTTTCACCTGATGGCGCGTGATACACAGACCCTGCGGCAGGTAGTCATGCCCAACCCCATGCGAACTGTGTCTAACAGAGATCCTGCCTTCCTTCTTTCCTTCATGAGTCACCACATAGAGCTTATGATTACGGCTTCGGCAGTGCTTTGGCCTGAGCTTGGTGATGATCACGTCTGCGTCTTTCTTCGTGAAACTCATCAGTGATGACTAATGTACCGCCTGAGCACAGACCATTCTTGCGCTTCTCTGCTCCGGACTCACGGGCCGAGCGTTGTCGGTTCCTCACTATATACCTCATATATATCGAGAATAGCACCTTTCAGTTCACTAACGGCCTCTTCTCTTGATTCTCCTGGCATACCTATAGACGAGTTTCTTACAAGAAACAAAAAAAAAAAAAAACAAAAAAAAAAAAACACAAAAAAACAATCAAAAAAGAAAAAACAAAAAACAAAAAAAAAAAAAAAAAAGAAAAAAAAAAAAAAAAACCAAGAAACCCACTCCAAAAACAAAAAAAACCCAAAAAAAACAAACAAACACAAAAAACCAACAACAACCCCCCACACAAAACACACACACACCACCCAACCACCCACAACCAAACCACCATCGACAAACACCACACACCACACCCCCCAAGAAGCCCCACCAACAAAGCACACAACCACACCCGCAACCCAACCCCCCAACCCCCCCCCCCCAAACCCAACCAACCCCCACCCCCCCCCCACCCCACACCCACCCCACCCCACACCCCCCCCCCACCCCCACTCCCATCCCCAACCCCCCCACCACACCCAACCCCAACACCCACACAAAAAAAAAAAAAACGCCACACAGCCACCTTCGGGTCCGCGATCACCCCCAACCTCGACCGGTATCGGCTCAAGCAGGGTATAGCGCTCGTCGTCCAGCTCTATGATGCAAGTCGGTTCCTCTTTCTGCCCAGGATACAATATATCCTCTGCCCACTCGAGCCATGTTATGGCTTGCGAGGTGACAGCGGTCGCGTATCTCGCATTTCGGTCGCAATACGAACCGATTGCACCGAGTGCATAGATACTAGTGGCAGCACTTGTGTTTAGCGTACTCGCTTGTGTCATAGTGGTTCACTCGGTGCGCGATTCGGTTTCACTCGGCCATCCACTACCACTATAGAGGTTCCCCAACGTAGATGGTACGGCGGATACCCTAGGATATCCTGACCTGTCGGAAACCGAGCGGCCTCGAAAATATCGAACGTGATACGGATCTTTGCCCCGTCGCACAGATTGACGATTATCGGACTGTTCTCAAGGTGGGCAATATCCACCACGACTGCGTCTTCGACTTCGCCGGTGATGGGGTTCTTGGATCTCCGCGTTGCCGCGCCCTCGTCTTCCGAGTGATTGCTCATGGTGATCCTCCCAGGCCGCTGGCGTGGTGTTGTTGATTGTCCGGCTTGGCCTTACACACATTACACAGCGTTGACACACCTTATGCAAGACTTGGTAAGGCCAGATTCTGGCTGTGTCTCACCCACCCGCCGCTCTTCCCCCCTTGGCGAACGGGAGCAGATAGACCGACGTCTTCCTCGGACGACCTGCGAGGCCCCCGCGAGTTCTTGATCCGTGCGGTTGCGTCCGGCGGGTTGATCTGTCGGGTTCGAATCGCGGCCGCCGTCTGGGGCGACAGCGACATGATGGTCCGTATCGCCGCTACGAAGCGGTCGGCGTCGCTCTGTTGCGGTGCTTGGCTTTCCGGTGCCGCCATCAAGTCCTACGTGCGTCACGAGATACAAGATACAAGATACCATGATGACGGCGCAGATGCAAAACCTGAAGGGCGGCCGGGTTAGGCCACGCAAGGGTTGCTGGCGGTACATCCACCGTTTTGTTTTCACGATACAGCTCACGGCCGGGAAACCCTTTCGCGTCCATTGAGCGGTGCGTCACTTTTGACTCCAAGGGATGGACTTCAGTACGAAACTCGCAGGCGGGAGTGGCAGAACCGCCCTAAAGCGCGACGGCGCTCGGCGACCGCTGAGGGTCGGCGGAATGGTTCGTCAAGAACCCAACGGGTGGAGTGGTTAGCCAAGTGTGTTGTTACCGCTACGAGATCCACACGGGCCGCTCGCACGGCGCCGATCTGGCGCGGCCGATGTTTCGCCTGGAGACCGGCGCGGATGGCGCGGGCAGTGCGGACGGACTGTTGGAGGGCACCTATCTGCACGGGTTGTTCGCGAACGACGCTATCGGCGCGCGTGGCTGGAGCGCATCGGGTCGGGCACCGCGTCGTCCGTGCAGTACGAGGCGGCGGTGGATGAGGCCCTCCACGCGGTGGCGGACACGCTGTCTGCGGCGGTCGACCTGGACGCGCTGTTCGGGGCCGCGCGCGCGGCCCGACGTGGCTACCGGCCCAACTGCGTGAGCGGCATGCCGTGTTCAGGGCCTTCAGCTCCAGGGCGAGCCCGGCGACCATGAGGTAGACGCGGCCGGCGCGCGGCGGCGAGCTGGTTCACGCGGCCGAGCGCGTCGCGGTACGCCGCCCGAGCGGCGACGGGCACCACGCCCAGGCCCACCTCGTTGCTGATCAGGATCCAGGTCGCCGCGGAGCGCTCGATCAGGTCCAGCAGCCCGCCGGCCGCATCGAGGATGAGCTCCTCGGCGCGCGGGGTCGTCCTCGTGGCGCAGGAGCAGGTTGCTGACGCCACAGGGTGTCAGGCAGTCCAGCACCACCGTGTCGTAGCGGCTCACGATCGGTCCGGCCCTGCCGGCCGGGTCGAGCGGCTCCTCCAGGGTGTCCCACCCGCTCGGCCGCCGTTCGCGGTGGGCGGCGATGCGACGGCGCATGTCCTCGTCCAGCGCCTCCGCCGTGGCGATGAACAGGACCCGCCGGCCGGCCTGCGCGAGCCGTTCCGCCGCGGCGCTCTTGCCGGAGCGCGCGCCGCCGAGCAGCAGGACGAGTTCGCCGCTCACGGCTCGGACTCCAGGTGGTTCCTGTCGTTCAGCAGGTCGAGCGCCGCGAAGCCGCCTTCGTACACGGTGACGATGGACAGTCCGCAGTTGCCCGATGAGAAGCGCTCCATGCTGCCGGACGGCAGCGCCAGCAGGCGCACGATCGCCGCGCACAGCGAGCCGCCGTGCGCGACCATCAGCAGGTTGCCGTCGTCGCCGCTGTGCGCCTCCAGCAGGCGGTCCACGCCGGCGGCCACGCGCTCGTACAGTTGCCGTTCGCTCTCGCCTCCCGGCGCCGCGCTGGTGTCGTCCCCGGAGAACAGCGCTGCGTAGCGCTCCGGGAAGCGAGCCTCCATCTCGGTGAAGGTCAGGCCCTCCCATTCGCCGAAGCCCCTCTCCCGCAGCGCGGGCAGGGTGACGAGCGGCATATCCCTGCCGCGCATGATCGGCTCCGCGTCTGGGTGACGCGCCGCAGGTCGCTCGCGTACACGGCCGTGAAGCGCATCGGCCGCAGGCGCGCGGCGATCGCCTTCGCCTGCGCCAGTCCCCTGTCGTTGAGCGGCACGTGCATCTGGCCTTGCGCGCGGCCCTCGACATTCCAGTCCGTTTCCCCGTGTCTCACCAGAAACCATCTACCCATCGGTCTTCTCCAGAACCTCCTGCACGCGCCGGCCAGCCGCCGGCAGTCCTCCATGCGCCGGACGCCGATCCGCACGTGCTCCGGCAGCCCGAACGAGGTGCAGTCTCGCACGCACACGCGGTGCTCTCGCAGCAGCCGCATACGGATCGCCGCATTGAGGCCGCCGTGCTCGGGCCGGGAGGGTTCCACCGCGTAGTACCAGATTGTCCCCAGGCTATCCCCAGAGGAGTCCGCGAACGGCGGTTACCGCGAGCGCCGCCGGCGGCTCCCGGAACGCCAGATCCAGCGCTACCGCCAGCAGCAGGGCGCCGGCATCCAGGCCCCATTCGCCGGGCCACGGCGACAGTGCCATGCCGGGCTACCCGAGCACGAGCACGGCGAGCCCCAGGACGGCGACCTCGGCCGTCTCGTTCACCGCGCCGTAGATGTCGCCGGTCACCCCGCCGAGCTGCCGGGTCGCCCACGCACCGCCGGCCCACGCGACCGCAGCGGCCAGCGCCGCCAGCGCCAGCCCCGGCAGTCCGGTCAGGGCGACGGCGGCCGCCGCCGCGATCAGCAGGCCGGCCCACGGCCCGAACCGGCTGCTGCGGCTCACGAACGGCGTGCCGAGCCCCTCGCGCCGCGCGTACGGGAACGACTGCATCACCAGCAGCATCGCCGCGCGGGACAGGCACGGGAACAGGATCAGGATGCCCGTCCGGCTCCCCTCCGGCAGCGCGGTCGGTGAGCGCCGCCAGTTTGACCAGCAGCAGGCAGACCACGCCGACCACCGCGAACGCGCCCACGTGGGGATCGCGCAGGATCTCCAGGCGGCGCTCGCGGTCGAAGCCGCCGAGAAGGGCGTCGCAGGTGTCCATGAAGCCGTCCAGGTGGAGGGCGCGCCGGGTCAGGGCGGCGAGCGCGGCCACCAGCAGGGCGCTGTTCAGGAGCACCGGCAGGTGCAGCACCGCAGCGCCAGGTCGAGGAGGCGAGCATGCCTCCCAGCAGCAGGCCGACCGCCGGAAACCAGGCAGGGGCGCGCGCGAGTGCGCCGGCTGCATCCGGCGGGGAGGCCGCGTCCGCGGTGAGACCGGCAGGATGGTCAGGAAGCCGATCGCGGCTCGGCACGAGGCCAGGAGGCGAGGCGGTTTCATCGTGAATCCGAGACGCCGGCCTCCGCGAAGGTGGCCATCTCCGTCAGGCACGCGGCCGCGGCGGTGACGATGGGCAGGGCGAGCAGGGCGCCGGTTCCCTCGCCGAGCCGCATCTCCAGGTCGAGCAGCGGTCGAGCCCGGATGCGCCAGCACCGCGCGGTGGCCCGGCTCGGCGGAGCGGTGGGCGGCGATCAGGTAGTCGCGGCCGGCGGGCACAGGCCGTGGGCGAGCAGGGCGGCCGCCCCGGAGATGAAGCCGTCCAGCACCACGGCGCGGCGCCGGCAGGCCGCCCCCAGCACCACGCCGGCCAGCACGCCGATCTCGAATCCGCCCACCTTCGCCAGCACGCCGAGCGGATCGCCGGGTCGGGCGCGTTGTGCTCCAGCGCCCGGCGCACCACCGCCACCTTGCGGCGCAGCTCCTCCGGCGTGCGGCCGGTGCCCGGACCGGTGGAGTGCTCGGGCGAGGCTCCCGTCATCACGGCGGTGATGGCGCTGGCCGCGGTGGTGTTGCCGATGCCCATGTCGCCGGTGGCGATCAGGTCCGCGCCCGCGTCGCCGCCTCGGCGGCGAGGCTCACGCCGCGCCTCAGCGCTCCGCTGCTCCGGCGACATCGCCGGGCCGCGGCTGATGTCGCCGGTGCCGCGCCCGGCACGCACGGAGCGCAGGTCCGGATGGTCCGGCAGACTGTCCGCGGCGATGCCGGCGTCGGCGACGATCTGCCGCACGCCGAGCATGCGCGACATGACGCTGACCGCGGCGCCGCCGGCCAGGAAGTTCCGCACCATCTGCGCGGTGACCGCCTGCGGATAACCGGTCACCCCCTGCGCGACCACGCCGTGATCGCCGGCCGCGACGATCACCGCCGAGCCCCGGATGACGGGCCGTTTCGGTGCCGAAGATGCCCGCGAGCCGGACCGACACCGCCTCGATCCGGCCCAGGCTGCCCGGCGGCTTGGTCAGGGTCAGGTGCCGGGCCTCGGCGCGCCGCATCGCATCGGCGTCCGCCGGCCCGATGCGCTCAAGGGTCGCGGCCAGCGTCATGAGGCGGATGAGGGCGGCGCCGGGCCGACCAGATGGACGTGCGGCACTCCCGTGCCGGTATCGTGCTCGACCGTCGCCTCCACTCCGAACACCTGCCGGAAGCGGTCCGGCGTGAACACCTCGGCCGGCGTCCCCTCGGCCACGAGCTCGCCGCTCGACAGCAGCGCCAGCCGGTCGCAGTATCTGCTCGCCAGCCACACGTCGTGCAGCGCCACTACCGCCGCGACGCCGGCGCCGGCAACTTCCGTCCGCAACGTCTCCATGGCCGCGAGTTGGTGCCGGAGGTCGAGGCCGGCTACCGGCTCATCGAGCAGCAGGACCCGCGCCTGCTGAGCCAGCGCTCGGGCCAACAGCACCCGCTGCCGCTCACCGCCGGAGATCCGGTCGAGCTGCCGGCCCTCGAACCCCTCGGTCTCGGTCCTCGCCATCGCCGCGCGTGCGATCCGCTGGTCGCCGGCGCCTTCCAGCGCGAACCGGCTCAAGTGCGGATACCGGCCCCATCAGCACCGTTTCCAGCGCCGTGAACGGATGGGCTGCCTCGTCCTGCGGAAGATATGCGAGCTGCCGCGCGCGTGCCCGGGCCGATAGCTCCGGCAGCTCCGCCGGTCCCAGCCATACCGAACCGGAGTCGGGGCGCAGCAGGCCGGCCATCACCCCGCAGAAGCGTGCTCTTGCCGGCGCCGTTCGGGCCCACCAGTCCCGTCACCTGGCCGGGGCGCGCCGCGAACGATACCGAGCGGAGCACGGGTGCCCCGCCCAGACTCACGGACACCTCCCGTGCCGACAGCGGGTGGACGCTCACGGTCCGAAGTACGGCTCGAAGTCGCTGAAGGTCACGTCACGGAACCGGTCGGGGTACAGCAGCCGCGCGGTCTCCTCGATACCGCGCACGTTCCAGTGGGAGAGCGTGGTGTAGTAGCGCGGGTCGGCGACGAACACCTGCATGTCGGCGATTGCCGGCACGCCGGCGAGCGCGCGATTGCCCAGCAGGTCGTCGCGCAGCTCCGTACCGCCCGAGTCCGCCGGCTGCGTGATCAGGATCACGTCCGGGTTCATGGCGGCGATCGATTCCACGCTCACCGACTGATGGCTGACGATGCCGTCGCGCGCGGCTGCGTTGACGCCGCCGGCCGCCTCGATGATGCCGCCTTCGGTCGAACCGTCGCCGGCCGCGCTGGTGGACTCCGCGAAGCGGGCGATAGCCAGCACCGCCGGCCGCGCCGGGTCGCCGGGCTCTGGCACGCGTTCGGTGACCACCGCCAGCCGCCGCTCGATTTCGGCGACCAACTCCAGGGCGCGCGCCTCGACGCCGAGCAGATAGCCCAGCAGGAGGATGTTGGGAATGTTGCCGGCAGCCGAGTTCTCCAGTGCCGAGCGCATCACCGGTACGCCGGCCTCCTTGATCAGGGCGACCGTGTCCGCCTTGGTGTACTTGGAGACCACCACCAGGTCGGGCTGCATCGCGAGCACGTTTTCCACGCCGCTGTGCACCGTGGCCATGCCGGCAACCTGGTCGGCGACGTTCGAATAGGTCAGATTGGCCGCGAACGGTCCGACCCCCGCGAACCGGTCGCGCGGAACTAGGGCGAGCAGCATCTCGTCGTGGCCGAGCGACAGGGCCAGTATCCGCTGCGGAGGCTCTTGCAGGCGGACCACGCCTTCCGATGTCTCGACCTCGCGCGGCCATCCCCGGTTCGACACGTCGACGATGCCGGGCACCGCGGGGTAGTCGACCGGCGTCTGTGCGGTCGCGTCGATCGCAAACGCGGCCAGCAATCCGGCGCAGGCGGCGGTCCGGCCGATCTGCCTGATCGGTACGAGTTTCTCCCAGGTATTCATGACTCCTCCTTGCATGGGTTCTTTGATCTACAACAATCCGGCGCGCGCCTTGTGGCGGGCCAGCAGGAACAGGAAGAACGGCGCGCCGACCAGGGCGGTGATGATGCCGACGCGCACCTCGGCCGGCGCGATGACGAGCCGGGCGACCGTGTCCGCGGCAAGCAGGAACACCGCGCCGCCGAGCGCGCTCAGCGGCACCAGCACGCGGTGGTCCGCACCGGTGATCAGGCGGAGCGCGTGCGGGACGATCAGCCCCACGAACGCGATCGTCCCGGAGAACGCCACCGCCGTGCCGGTGATCAGCGACGCGGCCAGCAGCAGGACGGTGCGGGTCAGCCCCACGCGCACGCCGAGCGCCCGCGCTTCCTCCTCGCCGACCATGAGCAGGTTCAGGTCGCGCGAAAGCAGCACCGCGACCGCCGTGCCGGCCAGCACGAACGGCGCCGCCAGCCGGACGTGCGTCCAGCGCGACGCGTCGAGTCCGCCGGCGAGCCAGAAGATCATCTCGCGCTGCGCGCCGAGTTTCCTCGGTGAACAGCACGATCGCGGAGATGATGGCGGCCAGGAACGCGCTCACCGCCACGCCGGCCAGCAGCAGCGCCGCCATCGAGAAGCGGCCGCCGGCGGAGGCGACCGCGAACACCAGCGCCAGGCGCCCGGCGGCGCCCGCGAACGCCATGCGGGCAGCGCGAGCGGCGTCGCAGCCTGCGCTCCGATGGCGATCGCCACCACCGCGCCCAGCGCGCCGCCGGTGGACACGCCGATGATGCCGGGGTCGGCCATCGGGTTCCTGAACAGCCCCTGCATCACGGCGCCCGCCACGCCGAGTGCGGCTCCGACGATCAGCGCCAGGGTGATGCGCGACACTGATCGTCTCGACGATGGCCGCGCTCGGCGTCGGTGGCCTCCAGGATGCGGACCCCGAGCTGCTCCAGCAGGATGCCGGCGGTGTGGGAGAGGGGTATGGCATACGGGCCGACGGCGGCGGCCGTCACGATCAACGCCGCGGCGACGCCGGCCAGCAGCGCGCTGCCGCCCGCCAGCCGCGCGACGACCGGCGATCGTGACCGCTTATCGAGTGAGTCGCCTCGTTCTCCACCAGAGCTCCTTCGCCGCTCTGCGTTCGGGGTACGCCGCCGAAACGGACCTGTTCCCCTGGGATCGGGGAAAGGCTCGACCTGAGGCGCTCCCTGAGCGGAGAGCGGCCACTCAGCCTTGCCCGGCAGGTCTCCTGGCTCCCGGCTCATCGCCTGTCCCGCGCCTTCCCATCCCCGTGGTGAGGGACAGTGGCATCAAGCGGGCGGCTACCGGTCACAGTGGCGCCACCGCAGCGGATTCTCACCGCTTTCCCTGTTCGGCTTTCGTTTTCCCGAAGGCACCGGGCAAGGTCTGCCTTTCGTGACTATTCGGGCCGGAGCCTAGTGCCGGCCGCGCCCAATGTCAAATGATGCGTCAAATGATGCGTACGTCCGGCCGCGGCCGGACGTGTCAGGAGGCGGCCTTCTGCCTGGTCGTACGCTTGGTGGTGGTACGCTTGGTGGTGGTCGTGCTCTTGCGCCGGGTGGTGCCACGCGCCTTGGGCGTGGCCGGTCCCCGCTCGCGACGGTGCTGCAGCAGCTCCGCGGCCCGTTCGGGGGTGATCTGCTCCACCGTGTCGCCGGTGCGAAGCGAGGCGTTGGTCTGTCCGTCGGTGACATACGGGCCCCAGCGGCCCTCCTTGATCACCATCGGCTGACCGGTCGCCGGGTCGTTGCCCAACTCGCGCAGCGGCGGCTTGGCGGCCTGCCTGCGGCGCCCCTTCGGTTGCGCCAGGATCGTCAGGCATTCCTCCAGCGTGACCGTGAACAGGAGATCCTCCGAGTCCAGCGTGCGGCTGTCGGATCCCTTCTGGATGTACGGCCCGTAGCGGCCGTTCTGGGCGGTGATCGGCGTGCCGTCGGCCGGGTCCGCGCCGACCGTGCGGGGCAGCGACAGCAGCTTCAGGGCGTCGTCCAGATCGATGCCGTCCAGGGTCATCGACTGCAGCAGCGACGCGGTCTTCGGTTTCTTCTTGCCGGTGTCCTCGGCGGTGCCGACCTGCACGTACGGCCCGAAACGGCCCGCGCGGGCGATCACCGGCAGGCCGCTGTCCGGGTCCTCGCCGAGCACGCGGTCGTCGTTGGGCTTGTCGATCAGTTCCAGGGCCGCCTCGACGGTCAGCTCGTCGGGCGGGATCTCGTCCGGGATGGTGGCCCGCTGCGGGCCGCGTTCCACGTAGGGGCCGAAGCGCCCCACGCGCGCCACGATGACGGCGCCGCTGCCGTCGGTGCCCGATCGCGACGGAGTTGACCTCGCGCGCGTCGATCCGGCCCAGGCGGTCGGACACCATCGCCTTGAGGCCCGCATTCTCTTGATCGGACTCCTCGCCGTTGGAGGAGCCGTCGTCCCCGCGCACGGGCACTTCGGCGCCGAAGTAGAAGCGGCGCAGCCACGGCTGCACGTCCCCGTCGCCGGTGGCGATGCTGTCCAGCTCGTCTTCCATGCGCGCGGTGAAGGTGTAATCGACCAGGTCGGAGAAGTGCTGCTCCAGCAGCCTCACCACCGAGAACGCGGTGAAGGTGGGCACCAGCGCCGTGCCCCGTTTCCACACGTAGCCGCGGTCCTGGATGGTGTTCATGATCGAGGCGTAGGTGGAGGGCCGGCCCACGCCCAGCTCCTCCAGACGCTTGACCAGCGAAGCTTCCGTGAAGCGGGCCGGCGGCGAGGTCTCGTGGCCTGACGGCTCGAGCCCTTCCAGGCCGAGCCGATCGCCTTCGGTCACCGCCGGCAGCGGCCGCTCCGAGTCTCCGTTCGGCCGGGCCCCGGCGCCTCCCTCGGCGTCGGTGCCCTCGGAGTACACGCGGCGGAAGCCGTAGTGGCTGATCGTGGTGCCGGCCGCGGTGAACTCGGCATTGCGCCCGTCGGCGGCCTCACCGCCCACTCGCACCTGCACCGTGCTGCCGATGGCGTCGGTCATCTGCGAGGCGATCGTGCGCTTCCAGACCAGCTCGTAGGCCGCCGCTTCGCCGCTCGACAGGGCGCCTCGCACCTCCTCCGGGGTGCGGAAACGGTCTCCGGCGCCGGATCGCCTCGTGCGCCTCCTGGGCGTTCTTGACCTTCTTGGCGTAGCGGCGTGGGGACGGCGGCAGGTAGTCGGCTCCGAATCGCTGCGCGATGGTATCGCGCGCCGCGGTCAGGGCGGCCTGCGAGAGCGTGGTGCTGTCGTGCGCATGTAGGTGATGTAGCCCTTCTCGTACAGCGACTGCGCCACGCGCATCGCCGCCGTGGCCGACAATCGCAGCTTGCGGCCCGCCTCCTGCTGGAAGGTGGAGGTCATGAACGGGGCGGCCGGGCGGCGCCGGTACGGCTTGCGCTCCACGGCGCGCACGCGGAACTCGGTGTCCCGCAGCCCGCCGGCCAGGGCGCGGGCGGCGGGCTCGTCAAGGTGGACGGTGCCTGCGCGCTTGAGCTCACCGTTCTGCTTGAAGCTGGAACCGCCGGCTACCGGCTTGCCGTCCAGGGTGGCAAGCGCCGCGGTGAAGTCGCGCGGCGCGTCGGCGTCCGCCGGACCCGGGACGCCGAACGTCGCCGTCAGGCTCCAGTAGCGGGCCACCACGAATGCCATGCGCTCGCGCTCGCGCTCGACGACGATGCGGGTCGCGACGCTCTGCACGCGGCCGGCCGACAGGCGCGGCTGCACTTTCTTCCACAGCACCGGCGACACCTCGTAGCCGTACAGCCGGTCCAGGATGCGCCTGGCCCTCCTGCGCGTCCACCAGGCGGCGATCGATGTCGCGCGGCTCCGCGATGGCTGCTTCGATCGCGGGGCGGGTGATCTCGTGAAACACCATGCGCTTCACGTCCATCCCCTTCGGGGGCTTCAGCTCCTGGTACAGGTGCCAGGCGATCGCCTCGCCCTCGCGGTCCTCGTCCGTGGCCAGATACAGCACCTCGGCCGTGGCCAGCAGGTCCTTCAGCTTCTTGATCTGGCGGCGCTTGTCGGGCGGCACCACGTACAGCGGCTTGAAGCCGTTGTCGACGTCGATGCCCAGGCGCGCCCAGGGCAGCTCCTTGTAGCGGGCGGGGACGTCGGCGGCGCTGCGGGGCAGGTCGCGGATGTGGCCGATCGACGACTCGACTCACGAAGCCGTCACCCAGGAAGCGGGCGATGGTGTTGGCCTTGGCGGGCGACTCGACGATGACGAGGGCCTTGGCGGTGGTCTTGGGCACGGGCAGAACATACGGCCTGTCCGCCGACCGTTGTCAAGCGAGTCGGCGTACGGTGTGCCGGGCAGCCACCCGGCAGCGAGGCCCGGATCCCAGACCTCGGCAATGTGGTGATTCCGGATCTGATGCGCGATCACCCACGACGAAACGCCGAACGCTGCCGCCAACTCGTCAACATCGTCGCCATCACGACCGGCGAGACACCTTCTGCCTCAGGCTCGACGATGGCGCCAGGAACTCGCCGCGAAGGGCGGTCCGCTGCTTGCCGTTCGGAGTGCGCTTTGGTGAGCAACGTGTCGGTGCCCGGCGATGCGAACACTTCGCCGAGGGCGCGGCAGAAACGAAACCGTCTGCTTTCGCCGCTGGAGAACTCGCGAAACGCGAAGCCGGAAAGAGGTCATCGTTCCGGGTGATCACGCCATCGACCAGGGCTGGCGCCGCTTGCGAAGTCCACGGGCTCTGTCACTTGATCGAGCGATGCAGGCTCTGTGTCGAGGGCCTCCGCAATTCGCGCCATCGACGTAGCGGCTTGCCGTCCAGATTCAGGGCCCGGCGCAGCGTCCCGCGCGAGATCATAGCCCGCTTCCCAGGGACTGGGTGCCGCCACATGACCACCCGCGGGGAGTTCGTGGTCCATCACGGCGAGAGGTTCCCATCGCAGCGCGTTTGCCTTGGCACGGCCGATGGCGCCGGTAACGGCGGAACACTCCATCATCAGGCTCCGTGCATTGAACGCGGCGATCGCTTCTTCCTCAAGCACCGCCCCGCTCAACGTGTGGCCAAGCTTCAACACGAGTGAGCGCTCGTCGTCGCCGATGTCAGTACGGATCCCAACCCAGCCCGGCAGCGGCTTCGCAGAATTCGATCTCGTCTCTATCGGCTTCTGAATCGCTTCCCACTCTTCTTGCAGCAACGTCCCCTCGACACCCGAGAGACAGGAGCCGCCGGATCACGCGATCGATGAGATCCGCACACGCATCGCGGAACTCGCTGCTGTCTACCCACGTCCGCCCCCGGTCGAGGAACTCGATACCGGTCCAGGGAGACGGACCGCTTGTCCACGCAAGGCACGTCAAGCCCCCATACGGGAACACCTGCAGATCGGGATACGCATATCCGTCCCGGTCGCTTCTTATTGCATGCCTGCGGCGAAAGTGGGGATCGCCCTCTTTCGCCGGATTGCCGACCTCGTGGGTCAGGAACCACCAGTTCGTCGCCACCCACTCAGCGAACGGATAGAGCGGGACGTACACGGAGTCACGGGACGGTCTTTGCACGCGTGTCCAGCACACGGGTGACGATCGAGTCGCCGGCGCGAATCTTCAGTGACGCCCAGGTCGCGGACAGTTCAGGACCGTTGATGCCTTCGGCATCCATCCAGTCGGTCTCGAACTCAAGTTTTGCCATAGAGCCCATCGATTCCGTCCGGCCACTCGTTCTCGCCGAGAGGGTATCCCTTGTACGATCCGGTCCCGCGGTTCACGAGCCGAGCCTCGAAGACGGTTCCACAGCGTCGGCCCGCAGGCGCGGCTGCCCTGCGAAGCTGGGGATGTCCTTGTGTTCCGTACTGCCGACATACGCCACCCGAGAGGCCACGCCTTCCAGGTCGACATCCGGTGGAGCGGAAATCACCCGCTTTCGCGGGCGCCTGCGCTGAGGTGCACGCATCGCCCCGTCACCCCTCAGCGAGGGCGGTGTCCTCGATCGCCTGCAGCGGGGTGAAGTCGCGGTGGTTCTGAAACCAGGGGCGGTCGCCGTTGGTGCAGGCGTTGCCGCATGCGTTGTAGATCAGGTACAGGATGGCCCGCCGCCACGGCGAGATGTTGTTGGCCGAGCCGTGGATGAGGTTGCAGTCGACCAGCGCCACGGTGCCGGCGCCGCCGATCAGCGGCTCGATGCCGTTCTCGTCGGCCAGCCGCGCCACCGTGTCGCGGTCCAGTTCGTACAGCGAGTAGCCCTTGGCGTCGCGGTGCAGCTCGATCGAGTCGATGAACCCGTGGCGGTGCGAGCGCGGGATCACCAGCAGCGGCGACCGTTCCACCGTACAGTCGTCGATGAACACCGACGCCATGATGCAGTCCGGCCGCTCCATGCCGTCCACGCGTTGCCACGCGCTGTAGTCCTGGTGCCAGTCCCAGCGGGCGCCCGAGCCGAAGCCCTCCTTGGGGTTGAGGCGGCTCTGGTGCAGGTACACCTCGTCCGTGAGCAACTGCCTGACCGGTTCAGCATCCGCGGCAGCAGCGACAGCCGGCGAAACGGTTCGGAGTAGAGGTGCGTCCCGAACACCAACCGCGCCGGCCCCGTCCTGTTCGCGGATCACCTCCGGGCCGGTCCGGCTCATGACCTCCGGGAGCGCCGCGCGCAGCGCCTCGACCTCCGCCGTGTCGAGCAGCCCCTCGAACAGCAGGTAGCCGGTCTCTGCGTAACGCCGGATCTGGTCTTCGCTCAGCCGCACCGTTACATCATACCGCAGGGTACACTCGTCCGTGGTGACCCAGGAGCCAGCCCCATGAGCGTACATTCCCCCGCGTCCGGCACGCGGACCCGCAACCCCGGCGCGCTGGACGGGCCGAACAAGGCGCGCCCATCGGTCTCGCGGGCCAGCCTCCGCCGCGTGCTGGCCACCATCATCTGGCCGCGGCGCTGGCTGCTGCTGCTCGGACTGCTCCTGATCGGCATCAACAAGCTGGCCGGCCTGGTGATTCCCTGGTCGTCCAAGGTGCTGATCGACGACGTCATCGGCAGGCAGAACACGTCGCTGCTGCCGCTGCTGCTGGTCGCGGTGGGCGGCGCCGTGCTGATGCAGTCGGCCAGCTCGTTCCTGCAGACGCGCTTGCTGAGCGTGCAGGCCCAGCACCTGATCGCGACCCTGCGCGGCCGCGTGCAGCGCCACCTGCTACGCCTGCCGGTGGCCTTCTTCGACGACAACCAGACCGGGGCGCTGGTGTCGCGCGTGATGCGCGACGTGGAGGGAGTGCGCAACCTGATCGGTACCGGGCTGGGGCATCTGGTGGGCGGCGCGCTGACCGCCGTGGTCGTGATGATCCTGATGCTGCGCATCAGCGTACCGATGACGCTGTTCACGCTGGTGCCGATCGCCTTGTTCGGCGCGCTGGCGGGCCGGGCGTTCAAGGCGATCCGTCCGATCTTTCGCGAGCGCGGCGCCATCAACGCGGAGGTCACCGGCGGCTCACCGAGTCGCTGAGCGGCATCCGCGTGATCAAGGGCTTCCACGCCGAAACGCACGAGGACGGGGTCTTCGCCCGCGGCGTGCAGCGGATCTTCGACAACGTGCGCAAGTCGCTGACCGCCACCAGCCTGCTCACCAGCGGCGGCGTGCTGATCATGGGGCTCTCCGCGGTGCTGATCATGGGCGTGGGGGCGTCGCTGATCCTGCGCGACGCCATGACCGTCGGTGACTTCGTGGCGTTCAGCCTGTATCTGGGTGTCATGATCGCGCCGATCATGCAGATGACCCGCATCGGCACCGAGGTCACCGAGGCGTTCGCGGGCCTGGACCGCACGGAGGAGCTGCTGGCCAATCCGCCGGAGGGACACGACCGGACCGCACGGTGGCGCTGGCGCGCGTGCGGGGGGACATCGCCTTCGAGGGCGTCTCCTTCAGCTACCGGGAGGACCAGGCGGTGCTGCACGACGTGAGCCTGCGGGCGGCCGCCGGCACCATGACCGCGCTGGTGGGCACCTCCGGGTCCGGCAAGACCACGATCGCGGGACTGGCCGCCTCCTTCCTGGTGCCCGACTCCGGCGTGGTCACCGTCGACGGCCACGATCTGACCACGGTCACCCTGGACAGCTACCGGAGCCAGCTCGGGGTGGTGCTCCAGGACGAGTTCCTGTTCGAGGGGACGATCCGCGACAACGTCCTGTTCGCGCGTCCGGACGCGGGCGAGGAGGCGCTGCGGCGGGCGGTGCGCGCCGCGCACGTCGACGAGTTCACCGACCGGTTCGACGAGGGGTTGGAGACGCTCATCGGCGAGCGCGGCGTCAAGCTGTCGGGCGGCCAGCGGCAGCGGGTGGCGCTGGCGCGCGCCATGCTGGCCGACCCGCGCGTGCTGATCCTGGACGAGGCGACCTCCAACCTGGATACCGAGAGCGAGGCGCTCATCCAGCAGAGCCTGGCCGAGCTGATGGTCGGGCGCACCACGCTGGTGATCGCGCACCGCCTGAGCACGATCCGGCGCGCCGATCAGATCCTGGTGGTGGAGGAGGGTCGCATCGTCGAGCGCGGCACCCACGACCAGCTCATCGCCGCGGACGGCCGCTACCGCACGCTGTACGAGTATCAGGCGCGCATCTGACGCGGCTCGGCCGCCCGCCTACGCGGCGCGGCGCGCCACGTCGATGAGGGCGCGGATGTAGCCGATCGCGTAGGCGCGGCCGCGGTGGCCCCAGGTGGTGTCGTCCACCATCGCCGGCACGTGGTCGGTGATCATGAAGCCGGTGAAGCCCACCTCGTGCAACGCCTGCACCACCGCGAAGGTGTCCTGGTTGCCGTCGTCTATGAAGCACTCGTTGAAGCACGGCACCTCGCCCTGCACGTCGCGGAAGTGCACGTAGACGATCCGGTCCCGGCCGCCGAAGTGGCGCACCGCGTCCAGCACTCCGGGAGTGAGGTTCGCTCCGCTCACGCCGCTCGGCCCCATCTCCGACCAGCAGCCCATGCAGAAGTCCAGTCCGTGGTTGGGGCTGTCGAACGTGTCGATGGCGCGCTTGAAGCCTGCGAAATTGCGGAAGATGCGCGCCACGCCGCCCAGCGACGGCACCGGCGGATCGTCCGGGTGCAGGCCAGCGTGACGCCCGCCTCCTCGGCGACCGGCAGGATCGCGCGCAGGTAGTACTCGTAGTTGGCCCACATCTCGTCCTCGTCGAAGACGCGTCCGTGGGTGAGGGGGGCATCGCCGTGCTCGGCCATGTCGAAGCGGGTCGCCAGCGCGCCGCCCCGCAGCCGCTCGCGCTCGGGTGAGCGCCACACCTGGTTCGGCATCCAGTGATAGCCCAGGATCGGGATGCCGGCGCGGCCCATGTTGCGGATGGTCGCCTGCATGTGCTCGATCTGCTCGTCGCGCCCGGGCAGGCCCAGCATGGCCTTGTCGTAGAACGTCACCGGCACGTTCTCCAGGCACATCAGCCGCAACTCGGCGGCGTCGGCGCGTTCCCGGAGCGCCACCAGGTCGGCCAGCTCCCAGCGCGCGGTGCCGGGCAGGTCAGGCGTGTTCATCAGGAAATCGTCGGCGCCGAGCTGCTTGATGAAGGCGAGCTTCTCGTCGGTGAGCTCGCTGAACTGACCCAGACCGATCCTCATCTCGTTTGGTGATCGCATGTCGTCCTCCTCGTGCGCTACGCGACGCGGAAAGCCCAGATGCCGGCCGCGCGCAGGTGGAAGCGAATATAGACCGGCCGGCCCCGCAGCCGCGCCAGGTCCGGGCTGCCGCCCCAGGTGACGGTGCGGGCGACGTGGTCGCCGGTGATCGGATCGCAGTCGGCCAGCGCGTAGCCGGGCACCGCCTGACCGGGGTACTCGGCAAGCTCGACGCGCAGGCCCCCGTCCGCGCGGCAGTTCACCTGCAGCTCGGCGCCGTCCAGCACCAGCTCGCGCGTAAGCAGCCAGCCCTCCTCTGCGGCGTGCTGCTCCACGAAGCGGTCGCGCCGGATGCGCAGCGCGCCGATCGCGGTCCGGCCGTCAAGCTGCCCCGGCGTCCATCGGGAGCCGGTGTAGAACAGCAGGCGGTCCTGCGCGGCCGCATCGCCTGCCGTCGCGGGGACCGGATCGAGCCCGGCGGTCGCCACGCCCACGCTGTCGCGGTCGAAGTCGCCGTCGTGCCCGGTGGGCTGAAGGAACGGCTCGGTACCCGGCGCCCGCTCCCAGCGATGGCCGTCGGTGGAGAAGGCGACCTCGAGCTGCATGCGCTGCTCGTGCAGGTCGTTCTCCTCGAAGGTGGCGACCAGCCCCACCAGGACGCTGCCGTGCGGGAAGATCGCGATGCTGTCGAACTCGTTGCGGTCTCCCTCGTTTGGACCCAGCACGGTCCGCACCTTCGACCACGCGATCAGGTCGCGGCTCTCCGCGATCGCCACGCGGCGGCGGTGATGGACGTTCCGTCCGCCCGGCTGCCCCGGCCAGATGCCGGAACCGAAGGCGTACGGGCCGCAGGTAGGCGGTCCACATGCCTCTGGCGGTGTCGTACAGCAGGTTGAGGTTGCAGTCGTGCCGCTGCGGCATCACCGGATTGCCCTCGTACGGCCGCCAGCGAAGGCCGTCGGCGGAGAAGGCGAGCTCCTCTCCCGATCTGCCGGACGAATCCTTGCCGCCCTTGTGCAGCATCTTGTAGCGCCGCGACGGGTCGGGGTCGGCACGGTCGATCACCACCGAGAACGCGCTGCAGTTGTCGTGCGCCCCGCGGTAGAGGATGTTGGTGCGCCGGTGCTCGCCGTCGGAGACCAAGTCCAGGAGGGGCTTGCGCCACCGCAGGCCGTCCTCACTTTCGGCGTAGAGCATCAGGTAGGGCGGGATGACGAGCTTCCCCGGCCGTCCGCCCAGCGGCGGCAGGGTGCCGTACCACATGCGCAGCGTGCCGGACCGCTCGTCTGCCAGCACGGTGGGCCCGAAGGTCTTGACGTGCTCCCACGGCAACTCAGGCTCCAGCACCTGGCCCGCGCGCTCCGGTGGCGTGACGCGCCGCACCAGGCCGCGCCGGTCCTCGACCAGACCGCCGTGACCGAGCAGGTGCGTGCCGGCGCCGATGCGCAGCGGCTCGCCCGCTAGTAGGCGCCCGCCTCGATGGGCGCCCAGCGCGTCATGTCGATCGGTCGGTGGTGCGGCATGGCAGGCTCCGTTGCGAACGACCATTTCATCTGCAAGGATCGCCGTCAATGCGGGGTCGTGGCGTAACGAAGAGATCTGCCGATACAACGCGGTTGCTCGACGGCCGCCTGGAGGTGCGCACCGGCGACATCACGGCGCTCGGCGTCGACGCGATCGTCAACGCCGCCAACTCGTCGCTGCTCGGCGGGGGAGGGGTGGACGGCGCCATCCATCGCGCCGCCGGCCCGGAGTTGGTGGCCGAGTGCCGACGCATCCGCGCCGCCGACCTGCCGGACGGGGCTGCGGGCAGTGCGTCGCGTAACCAAGGCGCCGGGTGAAGCTGCCGGCCCGCTACGTGATCCACACGGTGGGGCCGGTGTGGCACGGCGGCAGCTCCGGAGAGCCTGAGCTGCTCGCTTCGTGCTACCGGACCAGCCTGGAGCTGGCGGCGTCGCTGGGCGATGCGGAGCCGGTGCAGACCGTCGCCTTTCCGGCGATCTCCACCGGGGTCTTCGGCTATCCCAAGGACGCGGCGGCGCGGGTTGCCTACCAGTCGATCCGTTCATTCCTGGACGGCAGCGACCGGCCGCGGCAGGTGATACTGATCTTCTTTTCGGGCGATGATGCGCAAGGCTTTCTGCTGGCGCGATCCAGACGCCGCTCTCCGCTAGGGAGGGAGCGATGGGACAGCAGGGCACGCTCGTACAGGAACGGCCGCGCGTGCGGGAGCGGCGCGACGCGGGGGGGCCGCCGGTTACCGTGCCGCTGCCGACGCGCCGCCTGGGCAAGACCGATCTGGAGGTGCCGATCGTGGGCTACGGCAGCGCCGCGGGCGGCATGGGGCTCCCCGACGGCGAGGCGATCGAGCTGCTGCACCGGGCGATCGACCTGGGGGTCACCTACCTGGACACCGCTCCCGGCTACGGCAGCGCGCACCAGCAGCTTCGCGAGGTGCTGGCAGAGCGGCGGGACGAGGTGATCGTGGCCACCAAGGCGCCGGTGAACACCGCGCGGGAGGCGCTCGATTCGCTCAAGACTTCGCTCCGCGACATGGGCACCGATCACGTCGACATCGCCTACATCCACAACCTGGGCCCGCGCGACGCCGAGCTGGTGCTGGGCAGCGACGGCGCGCTCGCCGGGCTGCGGGAGGCGAAGCGCTCAGGGCTCGCGCGCTTCATCGGCTTCACCAGCCACAGCAACCCCGCGCAGTCGGCGCGGGCGCTTGCCGAGCACGACGTTGACGTGATCATGGTGCCGGTCAACTACGGCGACCAGCACACCTACGGCTTCGAGCGGCAGGTGCTGCCGGTCGCGCACGCGCACGACGTGGGGATCGCGGCGATGAAGGTGTACGGCGGCGCCACGAACATGAAGTACGAAAAGCCGACACCGGCGGCACTCACCGCCAGGGGGCCGGTGGACCACGAGCCGGCGATGCGCTGGGCGCTGGAGCAGGCCGGCGTGGCCATCGCCGTGATCGGCATGTTCAGCGAGGCGGAGATCGAGCAGAACGTGCGCTGGGCGCACCGCGCACGGCCGCTGACCGCCGACGAACGGCGGATGCTCGACCACGAGGGCAGGGCGCTGGCCGAGTCGTGGGGCGAGCACTTCGGCCCGCCGTAGCCGGCGGGGTCGGCGCGGGCCTGCGGGCCGGCGCGTCGCGCCGGGTGGCGAGCACGGCCGGGGCGCACGTGGCGCTGGCGCGGGAATGACCGGGAAGTGATCGTGAGCGATTCAGGGAGTGGACGCGTGCGGGCCTGGCGGCGGGTCGGAGGCGAGATGGCGTTCGAGCACCCGCTGTTCAACGTGGAGCGCCAGGAGATCGCAGCCGGTGAGGACCGCCGGCAGGTCGTCGCCATCCATAGACCGGCAACTGGGTGAACGTGATCCCGCTGCGCGACGACGGCCAGGTGGTCCTGGTTCGCCAGTGGCGCTTCGGGATCTCCGCGCCGACGCTGGAGATTCCCGGGGGCGTGATCGATCCGGGCGAGACGCCGTTCGAGGCCGCGCAGCGGGAGATGCTCGAAGAGACCGGCTACCGCGGCGCGCGGTGGAACCCGCTGGGCACCGGCCATCCGAATCCGGCGTTCATGTCCACGAGTGCTCGACGTTCCTCGCCGAAGGGCTCGAGTGGGTCGAGTCCCCGCGCGGTGACGGGGACGAGGAGATCGAGGTCGAAGCCGCCCCGCTCGCGAGCATCCCCGCTCTCATACGCGACGGCCGGATCACCCACTCCCTCGTGATCGTCGCATTCCACCTGCTGTCGCTACGTCAGCCGCAACGGCCAACGGGAGATGACCCATGAAGCGCACCGTGATCGTCCTGATCGTGCTCGGCACGGCGCTGCTGCTGGCCGGCTGCGCAGCCGGCCCCAACACGCTCGTTGGCTCAGCGGACGACGAAGGCCTGCTAGCCGGCTTCTGGCTGGGCATCTGGCACGGGGTGATCGCACCGGTCACTTTCGTGATCTCGCTCTTCTCGGAGCGCGTGCACCTGTACGAAGTCCACAACAGCGGCGGCTGGTACAACTTCGGATTCATGATCGGCCTGTGGATTTCGATCGCCGGTCCCGGCCACGGCCGGGCCCGCAAGCGGCGTCACCGATCGCGCGAGTGAGGCCTTGGCGATAGCAGCCCTGCTGCTGTCGCTACCGTGTGCTGGCGAAAAGGGGGTCTTCAGGAATTCGTGTGGAAGGACGACACATGAAGACCGGCGGGTCGAGATTGAGGCCGCCGAGAACGCGAACCGGGAGTGGCAGCGGACGGTGTCCCGCAGCAGGACGCCGCGGAGGAGTCGATGACGACCTCCGCCGCGGCGAGGTTCACGGTTCCTGATTCCTGAACCCTGCCGGCGGCATTGCGGCACGCGCACCGGCGCCAAGAAAGTCGAGAAATCGTGCCGCGGGGACTTGACGGGGTTTTGCGCGTGCGAGGTGGCCCGCCACCGCACGTTCCAGCCCCTTCCGGCCTCCGAAAAGCTCACGTGTCCCTTCGGCTGCACAGCACCCGGTTCAGCGCGCGCTGCGCGCAGATCATTGCCGGTCCTGGACGGAGATAAGACGTGTATCTCAAAACCGGTAGTATATTTACGGCATGAAGACCGCACCTCTCACCACCGCCACCCGGCCCGCCCGATCACCTCCACCGTCGGCGCCCTCTCCGACCGCGAGCTGCTGCGGGAGACCAGGAACCTGGTCCGCCACGAACGGCACCTGCAAGGCGCCATCATCGACCACCTGGCCGAGATCGAGGCGCGCGGCCTGTATCTGGAGCGAGGCTTCTCCAGCCTGTTCGACTACGCGGTGCGCGAGCTCGGCTACAGCGACGCGGCCGCCGCTCGGCGCATCGGCGTCATGCGGCTGTGCGCCGATCAACCGGACGCGCGGGAGGGGTTGCGCGACGGCTCGCTGACGCTGAGCGCCGCCGCGGAGCTGCAGTGGGCGTTCGACCGGCAGCGGCGCCGCGGGTCGATCTCCGGCACCGCGGCGATCGCACCGGCGGGGTCGGCGGCGGGGTCGGCGGCACAGAACGATCCGGCGCCAGACTCCGCGCCGGCCGTACCGTTGCCCCCCGCCGAGCCGGAGCCGCCGCCGCTGGTGCTGGATGCGGTGGGGCGGCAGAAGCTGGTCGAGGAGGCGGCCGGCAAGAGCGCCCGGCAGGTCCGCCAGATGCTGGCCGACCTGGACCCGGAGCTGGCGCCGCCGGCCGACCGGGTGCGCCCGCTCGGCGACGGCCGCTACGAGCTGAAGGCGGTCATCGACGCGGAGTGCCAGCAGGGGCTGGAGCAGCTCCGGGGGCTGCTCTCGCACGTGGACCCGCGCATGACGATGGGACAGCTCGTCGGCCGCCTGGTGCAGGAGGGGCTCGACCGCCACGACCCGAGCCGGCCACCGCGCCGAGCGCGCGGCGGCAGTCGGCCCGCGGACGCGAAGGCAAACGCCCCGCGAACTCCGACGCCGGAGCAGGCGCAACGGCGCAGCGCTCCGGCGGCGAAGCACGCGCGTCGCGGCCCGGCGGCGACGACCGACGCCGGCGCCGCTCACGCAGCGATCCCCGCGCCGACACCGGCGCGGGCGGTTCGGCCGATACCGACCTCCGCGCCGCCGCCGAGCACCCAGGAGGAGACGGCCCGCCGAGCCGCTACCGGGGCGAAGCCGACGGGCGCCGCCACTCCGGCGGCGAAGTCATGCGCTTCGGGCCGCGCGATTTCGGCGGGTGTCAGACGACAGGTGTGGCAACGCGACGGCGGGCGCTGCAGCTACGTCGATCCACAGACCGGGCGCCGTTGCAACTCAACGCATCTGATCGAGATCGACCACATCGTCACCGCCACCGTCACGCGCAGGGGCAGGTCCACGCGGGTGAGCCTGCAACCGCGGTGAGCGCCTCCGGACATCCTCGCTGGTGATGTGGGCCCGCATCGAGCGACCCGAAGGTCGGGACGTCGTCGGTGTCGTCGGTTTCCGGCCCGCCTGAAACCACCGGCGCGCGAGGACGGACAACGCGTTTCCAGGCTGCTGCCGCGTCTCTGCGCGAGCGCTCGGGCAACAGCGAGCACATCGTCGTCAATCGTCAAGGGTGGGTGCGCAACGAACGCATCATCGCATCATCCACACCAAGTGCCAGAGGAGGTGACCGGCAGGACGTCTGCTCTGGGGCGCACCATCGGCAGGCAAGGTAGGCTTCCTTAAAGTGGTGACATCACCGAGCACGCTCTGTGATCGTGAAACCGGATGGTGTGCGGCCACCCCGTTCGAGGATTCTCAGAGGCGGCTGGCCGAACTGCGCTTCGTCAGTCGCAAACTCGGGACTCACATGACCAGAGAGCAGGCTCGCACACTCTGGGGGGACGGTGACGTCGAGGATACATCGCGTCTCTGCGCGCGGTCCCTCACGGGCGATCGTCGTCAGGGGAAGGCAGGCCACCTGGAAATGCAGGCGGCTCAAGTCGGAACTGCGTAAGGAGCTGAAATTGCAGCGGCCACAGAACAATTCGTCCATTCCACGGAACCGGGCAACGAGTACGACGAGCATTCCGCCGAATGTTTCCCGAGTGGAGATCGATTCAACATGGGATCTTATCGATCAGATCGCCAGTGTGGCACCCAGATCGTCGACTGTTTCCTGAGGAAAGCCGCGACCCGAGGACGCCCAAATTGGCGCCGGTGGGTGACCGGGAGTCAGGCGATGGACCAGGGCGCACCGGCCTCGCTGCCTGGCTGCGCGGTCCCGAAGCGGTGCCGTACGCCGGTATCCTGATCCGCGGGTTGGACGTCGTCCCGGCACGACGACATCAGCGTCATCATGTATCTCGGACGGAGCTCCGACGTCGACAGTGCTCCGCTCGGTTTCCGCGGGCTGAGCGCGCTGTCTGCCATCGGCAAAGAGCATCGGAGCCGTCACGGTGATGTTACCTGGAGTCGAAGATGCGTTCCTCCAGCCTGACGTGATGGCGAGCGTACGAGGATGCGGGGTGAGCGGCGTAGTGTAGTTGTGTCCCGAGGAAGTGCATGACGCGCTAGCCGCGTCACGGTAGCGCCAGGTCGCGGATTGATCTTGAGCGGCGTGTGTGTCGGGGATCCCGGAGATCTCGCCTCCAGGGTGCTGGCCGGCTCCGCACAGATAGGACCGGGGAACGGCGCCACAGATAGCTGGAGAGCTGGGTAGCGGGCGGTTCCAGAAGAGGGGGGAGCTGGTCGCCCCGTGCTGAATGTGCCAGTGCACCCGTCGGTGAGCCCGTGTCGCGCTCCAGATCGGCCGGGCGTCCTCAGCTTCAGGTGGAGGATCGATTGCGAAGTTCGCGCGTAGCGGGTGATGGATCCACCAGTCGTTCGGCACCCGGTTCGCGCACCGTGTCCCAGTCGTGGGTCCTGGCAGCCTGGCGGGGGCGGTAGATCCACAACCGAGGGCGTGTGCCGGCCGCCTTGGCCAGCGTCGGATCGAGCGCGGACGGCACCGAGAGTTGATGATCGGGTTGGGCGGGGGGGCGGCCGGCGGGCGCAATCGGCGTAGGCGGCATCGACGCTCGCTTCGCTGCGGCCAAGCCCGACCACGCCGCGGCTCGGCAGCGCGGATCTCCGTCCATGCGTGCCGTCGCGAGTGAGCTCGTCGACGGTCCGCCAGCAGCTTGTAGCAGCTCACCTCGGTGACCAGGGCGCTGACCAGCGAGCGATGCGGCTCCGGAAGCTGTCTCAGCGTACGTCGTCAGTGTTCCGGCGTGCACGAGCCGCAGGAAGGTCCCGCTTTGTGATCCAGATTGGATACCACGCAGCGCGCCGTCACCGCCGTGCCGTCCGCGAGCGCACCGGTTGGCGGCGCCGTCTCGTCGAGCAGCGTCACGTCGCCTCGATCTTCCGTGATGCACGGCGACCCCGGCCTCCTCGACCGCCTGGCGCATGAGGGTGGTGATGGTGCCGATCCCGCCCTCGATGTATCCGTTGTGGGGTGTGCGCCCGGTACCACGTGCCGGCAAGGTCGATCGACCCGTAGGCCAAAGCCAGCGCACCCGGGTCATGGCCGATGGCGGCCGACTCTGCCGCATGGCGGTCGCGCAGCCTGCGAGTCGGGAGTAAAAAAATCAAAAAAAAATATCACCATCGTCGTCGGGAATGGTAATCATGATTCCTCAATCGAATCTAATCATCAGAAAAAATCTCTCTAAAAATCGACTATATCCTCGTGTCCTTAAAATCAAACAAAAATCACCTCCCCACCTCCTCCTACTCCTCTCGGAACATTACCTCCCTCTCTCCGTCTCGGTCCCCTCTTTCTTGCTTTTCCTCACCGTCCGGGGCAGGGCATCTTCAGAAGCGGGCATCGCCGCGGCGCCGCGTCGCGGAGCGGACCTCGCGAGGGTCGGGTGCGGCCGCATGCGATACGAGAACGCGCGACAGTTCGCACAGCGCCGCTTCATGTCGCGTAGCGACGTCTCCTGCTCTCGATCTCGTGCCGCGAGTGAGTTGCAGCGCAAGGTTGCGCGGGGATTCGTGATCGGCCGGGCCCCAGTACTCGCCGTCCGGCATCGGCACGAGCGACCCGGTGCGGGGAATCTCCACCATGCCGCGCTCTGCGAGCCGCAGGTCCGCCTGAATCCCGGGATCCAGCGCGTGCACCATGTGGGCGCAGGTCGAGAATCGGTACCCCGGCCACAGCTCTTCCGTGATTGCCGCCCCGCCAACGAAGGACCGTCGCTCGAAAATCCCGACCCGGAAACCGGCGCGGGCCAGATACCACGCGGCGGTCAGACCGTTATGGCCGCCGCCGACGATCGCGACGTCCAGGTCATGCGGCATCTCTTCAGCGACCCGGCCGCTCTGCAGAGTGGCGGGCACCGTCCTCCCTCGGCCGGCGCCGGGCTACTTTCTGACGCCGCCGGCGTCAGCGTTCCGCGCGAACCCGGCCCCACGGCGGCGCGCGCCGCGTTCAGGTCCTCACGCGACAGGACCGTGCCGGCAGCGCCGAGCGCCTCCTCGATCTGTTCCGGCGTCTTGATGCCGCAGATCGCGGTGTGGATCGACGGATGCTGTACGGTCGCGGCCAGAACGAGCTGGTAGATCGAAGCTCGTACCGCTCCGCGATCGGGCCGAGGCTCCGCACGTTCGCGCACATCTCGGCGAACCGCTCGCCCTGAAAATCGGGATGGTTGGCGCGGAAGTCGGTGAAGGTCTCGGTGCCCCGGTACTTGCCGGAGAGCAGACCCTTGTGCAGCGGCGAGTAGACCATCACGCCGATGCCCTACGGTCCTGGCAGTAGGGCAGCAGGTCGTCCTCGCCCGCCGGGTCGATCAGGCTGTAGGGCGGCTGCACCACGGAGTAGTCACCGAAGCGGCGCTGGCGCGGAACTGCTCGACGCTGTGGTTGCTCACGCCGTAGGCGCGGATCTTCCCCTGCGCCCGCAGGCGGTCGAGTTGCCCGGCGGTCTCCTCGCAGGGCGTGAGCGGGTCGAAGCCGTGCAGCAGGTACAGATCGATCGTGTCGAGCTGCAACCGCTTGAGGGACACCTCGCAGCGGGCAGCGATGTTCTCGGCGGACAGGTCCGGAATCCGGGATCCGTCAGGCTTGAACCGGTTCAGCACCTTGGTGGTGATCACCAGCTCGTCGCGCGGCAGGCCTGCGATCGCCTCGCCCAGCACCGTCTCCGCATGGCCCTCGCCATAGGCGTCGGCGGTGTCGAACAGGTTGATTCCGCCGTCGAAGGCCTGCCGTATCGCTTGAGTGATTTGCTCCCTGGACTGTTCGCCCCAGAAGCGCGGGCTGAGCTGCCAGGTGCCGAAAGAGATCGGCGAGACCAGCAGGCCGCTTCGTCCGAGTGGTACGCGCTCCATGTCTTGTTCCTCCGCGCCGCAGTATAGTCGCGACGGGTCATGAGGTACGGCGCAGTGCTTGATCGCGATACCGGCAGGCTCGTAACCTCGACACTCAGTGGATACGGATATCGAGGCGGTCGACGCAGGAGTGTACCTGCTGCCGGTGACGACGCGGGTGCCGCTGAAGTTCGGCGCCGAAGCGTTGACTTCCGTGACTGCGTGCGCGTGTCGCTGCAGGTGCAGGACGCCGTCGGTCGCCAGGCGATGGGGTGGGGCGAGACGCCGCTGAGCGTGCAGTGGGCGTGGCCGGGCGAGTTGCCCTACCAGGAGCGGCACGACCTGATGCGCGACCTGTGCCTGCTGATCGCGGCCGACTGGAGCGATGCGCGTTCTCCGGGCACCCGCTGGAGGTGGGGCACGCGTTCCTGCAGGAACGGCTGCCGGCCCTGGTCGAGCGGATCAACCGTGGCCGGCAGCCGGCGGCGCGCATGGCGCGGCTCGCCGCGCTGGTGTGTGCGCGTCGGCGTTCGACCTGGCACTGCACGACGCGTTCGGCGTGCTGCACGGAGTGCCGGCGTACGCGACCTACAACCGGCGCTACCTGAATCACGACCTGAGCCGCTACCTCGCGCCGGCGGCCGGCAGCGGCGGTCGTTCGTGGACAGGTACCCCGAGGACTTCCTGCGGCCTCGCCATGACGATCTGCCGGCGTGGCACCTGGTCGGGGCTGGATCCGGTCGAGCCGGCCGAGCTGGACGGGAGCGAGCCGGACGACGGCTACCCGGTCCTGCTGCGCGACTGGGTGCGGCGCGACGGGCTCACCTGCCTGAAGGTCAAGCTGCGCGGCACGGACGAGGCGTGGGACTACGGCCGGCTCCTGCAGGTGGGCTCGCTGGCCAACGACGAGGGGGTGGCGTGGCTGTCGGCCGACTTCAACTGCACGGTCACCGATCCCGCCTACGTGACCGGCATCCTCGACCGGCTGCTGCGCGAGCAGCCGCGGATCTACGGCATGCTGCTGTACGTGGAGCAGCCCTTCCCGTACGACCTGGAACGCGACCGGCTGGACGTGCGCAGCGTGGCGGCGCGCAAGCCGCTGTTCATGGACGAGAGCGCCCACGACTGGGAGATGGTGCGGCTGGGCCGGGAGCTCGGCTGGTGCCGTGTGGGTTGGTGGCGCTGGAATACCTTCAAGACGCAGACCTCTCGCTTCTCAGAGCCTTTTCTGTGTGCGCCTCTCCCTCATGACGCTGATGTTTTTGTGTGTTTTTTTTTGGTGGTTTGTGTTGTTTGTTGTCCATGTGAATTTACCAATATGTTGGTATCAGATGTTCCCACGTGGCATGCTGGAACGTTCTGCTCGAACATCATGGGCGTTGGAGGAACGCATGTGCATTTCTCTCCCTACGCCTCCGTCCCCCGAAGCGTGGGTGCACCCGGGGCTGTACCGCCGGGCAGAGGGGGGCTGACCTGTCCACCGTGTCCGGCCCCGGCTTCGGCTATCGGCTGGACGAGATCGATCGCCGCCTGCCCGAGGCGGAGACGATCCGGTTATGGCACACATGTCGCGGCACAACCATGACTGACGCGCGCTATGAGATACGTAAACGAGAACATCCGTTACGAGCCGGACGAGGGGGTCCGCCTCTTGTGTTGATCGGCGTGGACTCAGGGCGTCATGATCTCCCTGGCGACCGTGGTGCTGATGGTGACATCATCGTCCGTGCCGCCGACCAAGGCGAGCCTTATCTGTCGTGGCCGTCTTCGCGGCGCTTGATAATCAGCGGAGCCGTTACGGCTCTGCAGGCGGGTCGAGTCGGGCGCCTTGGCCGGGCACGTGCTCATGACCGGGGCCGGACCCCACTCATCGCGGTTTCCGTCGTGGCGCTGACCGAGGGCGGGCTGCCCATGCTGGCGACTATAATCGTCGTTTCATCACTCATTCAGGTCGCACTGGCCGCTTGGCTCCCGTGGCTGCGGCGGGTCGTCACTCCGGTCGTCTCCGGCACGGGCTCTGATGCTGATTGCGGTCACGGCATGACGGTTCGCGTCGAAAGGCTTAAGGAGGTGCCCGATGGCGCGCCGCCGGGCGCGGTTTCCGTCCGTCGCGTGGTAACCCTTGCCGTCGCCGCGACACTGGCGCTGCGGGCTTCAGGGGTTGGCGGCTATGGGGCTCTCTGATCGGAATCGGCGGCGGGGTGCGCGGTCCGCCGGACTCTTGGACTTTACGATTCTCAGCAAGTGATCGAGGCGCCCTGGTTCGATCTGCCGGATGTCGCGGCATGGCCGGATTCGACCTGACACTAGGTGCGGGGTTCTGGGCGCTCCTGCCGCCGTTCATGATCGTGACCCTCGTGGTCGCCGTGAAGACGAGCGGCGATGCGTCCGTCATTCAGCAATCTCGCGACGGAGGCCGCGGGCGATCGACTTCCGTACTGTCCGGGGGGTACTCAACACCAACGCGTGGGTATGCTGCTGTCCGGCCATTGCAGGGACGCCGCCCACTACCGTCTACTCGCCGTCGAGTGTGACGCTCATCAACGTTACCGGGGTCGCTACCGCAGCGTTGGGTATGCCATCGGCGCTATCCTGGTCGGGTTGGGCGTTCCTGCCCAGTTGACGGCGATTCTGCTCGCGGTTCCCGGCCCCGTAATGGGGACCTACTTGTTGATGATAATGGGGCTACTCTTCGTGGAGGGTATTGGACGGTCATCGGAGACGGCTCGATCACCAAAGGCATTGGTGGTAGGCGTAGCACTCTCGATCGGCGTGGGGCTGGAGAATCAGGATATCTTCGCAGATCTGCTGGGCGGGACGTGGAGCGCGGCACTCGGCAACGGCATGACTGGCCGGCGTTGCGGCTACGATTCTGATGACCTCGGTTCATGGAACTGACCAGCCTCACGCAGGCGCCTGCAGGTAGAGTTGGACATCTCGGCTCTGCCAAGCTTGACGCGTTCCTGCGCGAGATTGCATCCGGGATCGGTTGGAACGTTTCTTCGACTGAGCGGCTGCGTGCCGCCGGTGAGGAGACGCTATTGAGTCTGTTGCAGCCAGGTGGTTGACCACGCGGCTGCCAGCGCGCCGCGTTGATCATCGTCGCGCGTCCCAACGCC